TGACCTTCTAGAACACAAGCCAGATCAGTGAGAGGTTGTCACTGCCTGTCCTGTAATCTTGGGTGCCTCACAATGCTTTGCTGTTGTGGCTCCCTGCCTTGGTCTCATTAACAGCCCACCAGCATGTAAGTCATGTCCAGAGTGTCTATCTAGCGGAAGCCCTGGGACCCCAGCAGCTTGCCAGCAATACACCGGTTACACTCATGCTTCCAGCCTCTTTGATTACTGTTAAAAGGATGACCCCAGCGCACTTCCAGTCCCAGATTTTCAGCCCTCTACTAGACAGCTAAGTTATTAAGATCCATTTCCTCTGTAAGGGATCAATATTAATCAGTTTATTAGCTTAACTGGAGTTACCAAACAGTTCATTTTAAACTCCTCACTGGATTAGTTTTCAAATGTTTATTAATATAGAAAGGATTTTAAGTGAATTCAAGTACATGAGAGATTTACAAATGTTTACAAGCAATTTAAAGTGAAAACACACAAATGAAAGTCTAAAACTTAATCTAGCAAGGCATTATTTAAGTTTGCCTTTCTTACTAACAGTCTTCTCACCAACTGACCCTTTCCTTGGTCAGAATATCTCCCTGATGGACAAAGATGCTGGTGCTTTTGTTGTCTTAGGTGAGAGAGAGAACTTGTTTTTTCTCTCCTTTTTAAATTCCAGTGAACCTTTGAAGTTGATTCTTTTAAAGGTTACTCCTCGAAGTAAAATTTCCAAAAAATAAGGAAGGTGACATGGAATCTGGTGGCAAAAAATGATTCTGTGCTCTTTCTTCCCCTCACTTGTGTTTTCTGAAATACAAATTGTTCTGTTTTCTGCCACTTCTTCCTCCATTGTCTCGAGAATCCTGTTTCCCAGTATATGTAAATTGTGGCAAACACAGTCCTTTGTTTAGGATAGGATAGTTGAACAGCTTTTGCCTAGGCAAGGCCATCTGGTTTTGAACATGTGCTAGCAACATCATCCATATATATATTGACTAGTGATTAATTAGTTTTCAAATTATATGTCTCAAGACAGAGTTTACACAAAGGGGAGTGTAGGATATGAATATAAAAATGCTTTCATCCCAGGGATTAAAAAAAATATTCCATGACTCGCTCAAATGTCTTTTTGGCATCTATAAAAGTGAAATTAATTTCAACTCAGGATGTTTGGCATCCTGGATTATTCATAAGACTTCGTTGACCTTAATTTTTGCTGAGCCTTCTATGTTAGTGGTGTATTGAACTCAGGAGGAGAGTTTATTTGAGCCATGTCACTAGAAGTTTAGCCATTTAAAAAAAATATGTTTATCATCAAAGAGAAGGGTAATGTTTTAAATACAGCATTTTTGAAATGTAACAGAAAGTGAGATAGTATTGAAAGATCCAGGAAATTGCTTATCAAAAGTTGCTTACTACTCTTGAAAGAGGTTAATTTTAAAGGTTAGGTTTATTAATATATGCTAAAAACATTTGACATGGGGACTTTTTATTTTTTGTGATGACTAACTACCTTTATATCTTGTTGATTGGGTCATTCAGGATTTTCATTTGATCAGACTGTGCAAGGTGGTGGTGGTTATATAACTTTTTTATGGCAAGAGATCATCAGTAAGGCTCACTTGCATTTCATGAGTCTTCATTTCTTCCTCTAAAACAAGAATTTCCTAGATTAACTTTCTTCTGTCAGAAGTATATGGGTTAATGAACCTATGTATAAAATCCTTGGGAGTTTCCAAATAAAGTCTTGGGTCGCTTAAGTGAGAAACATTGACCTTTAAGAACATAGTCTGTTATTCCAATTTTTGTTTGGGGGGGAGGGAGAGGCAATACCCGCTTTGGAAACATAGATGAATTGAGACTTAATGGTCTCCTATTTGGTCATATTTTTTTATATGTAAAATTAGTGAGATTAAAACAAAAATGAAATAATTTTAGGTTTAATTTCAGCATCAGACAGCCAACATAGACTATAGTTCAAGGATAAGTTTTGTGATAAAGAACTGAAGCAATTTTCCCTAAGATTTGAATAAAAACCTATGTGTGTCAATCAGTTGGTAGAACTGAGAGACTGTCTTCAGTATAATAAATAAGCCTGATTATTGATGAACCAGAGGTTCAAAAGATTGTCTAGGGGTGGTGATTGTGGCAAGGGACTGGGGCTGAGAAGGAAGAAAGCCTGAGACTTAAATGCACTTAACCAATTACAAACTTTATTAACTACAATTTGATTATATTAAATCGCTGTTTCTGATTCATCTTAGACAGAGCAGCATGGAAACAAAGAATATAACAAATAAAACCAATACAGCAATAATAAAAACTCCTCCTGGTAGCCAACCCTTCTATGGTTATCTTTGAACAGCTGGTGGAGTTAGTCATTAATCTACATACACTTAACAACCTCTAAATATGAAATGGTTAATACAATATAATAAGCAATTCTCACAAGCCCAGTAACAATTACAATGCACAGACACAAAACAACATGTAGCATGCTCCAGATTCGTACACCCTTTCGTGATTCGGTGGGTGGGAGGCGGCCTTGGGTGATCAACCCCTTAGCCAGGCTGGATGATACATGCCTTCTATTTTGATACGGAACCTCGCCGAGCTTAGGGTGCTTTATACTATAATTTTGACATCCGGTACCATATTAGGGTTATTTGATATCTGGTACCATATTAGGGTTCCTTCCTTGTGACATGACGTCTGCCTAAAGCCATTGTGGTCAGTGCCTGATGCAGACATGACTGGCAAACGTGAAAGCTAGCTATGTTTTTGCTTCCTGCTCTAGGTGCTTGTTAACTGATGTATATGACAGCTCATTTCTCTTATTCCTATCTTATCCTGGTTTTTTTTAGTGCTCGTTAACTTAGTGTATGGGACAGCTTGTGTCCCTGCGCTTATCTTTTTGGCCCACGTGCTTGCCAAGTTAAGTTCCATTTACTGAGAACTGTGCTGAGCACCTGAGGGATTTCAAGCTCTGTCTCTGGATCTGCCTCAGTGGCCTGTGTTTTTCTTGTGAGAGGTTTTAGTGTGGCAATATGGGCAATACACGCGAGGCTGTGGTCAAAAGGACCTGCTACACAACAATTATTATGATTTATTGCCCTAATCATGGACCAGGGTGATCTCTTGCCATACCTCTTGTCTTTTCTGTACAGCAGAATAGTTTTTTATTAGTTTGAGTAGTTTCTTGATTATTGTACAAAGAAATGCATGTCTGTAGAAGAATTTGATGATTCTGATCATGATATATTGTAGGAATCACTGGTTGCAAAATATAATTAAATGTGTAATTTGCTGTGAGGCATTGCTATTTTTTAAGTATCACAATCTTTGTACCTAAGCATTGCTTACATATGAATTAGTTTTCTTTGCTGTGCTCCTGATTAACTTTTGTGCATGGATGAAATATAGGATTTGCCTAAGATTTCTTGAAGATTTATTTTAAATATTGTTTCTTTCACATATCTTTTAAAGGTAGATTATTCTGCAACTTCTTGGTAAGTTGCAATTTGTGTACCAACTTTGTGAATCACGAATCAAAATCTTACTGAAAAGAAGCCAGCAATGTAAAAAACATTTAAACGGCAGGCTCCTGTTATAACCCAGTGTTCCCCCCTCCCGCCACTGAAAACACCTTAACAAATTGGCAAGATAGTTCTAGAGGTCGTAAACAACAGCAGACAAAGGTTTTTAAATAATTATTATCTGTTGTTACCAGGCTATGACTCCCTACGCGGGTGAAAGTGTGAAGGGGAAATGAGGGAGACTATCTATCCTCTACCTGATTATTCCTCTTCCTACTTGCCAATCTGCTTTTACTACTGATCAGCAGAAGTGAAGTTTGTGCTGCTGGATTCTATGCCTTTCTGTAAGCCTTGTGTCAATAACTTCAAAATGAATGCTGTAAAGATCTGAACAAAAAAGAAAAGTACTGCTTTGTGTTCCTAATTTACTTTAAACTCTAGCATCATTTCAGTCACAGGAATCTAGGTTTCCTATACAGGTCATTCACGCTAGTTTTCAGATAAAAGGCAGAATATCCTTTGTTCATTTAAACATGAGTAGCCACAATCTTCACTGTCTTCGGTGTTGTCTCCTCCCCACCCCCTCGCCCCCAATTCAGACAGCTGTATTTGCTGTGGTATTCTATAGCACCTACTAGACTTTAAGTACAAAATTCCTACTTTACACCTCTTTTTCCCCTCACAGTCCTTTTCTATAATTGTTTCTTTTACTTTTGCTAAATTCAGGACGGGTCTGGACTAATATTTTCTATGTTTGATTTAAATTTTACTTTGGGATTAGTGACCAAAAGTCGTCAGCTGACATTTGACCTACCTCAAATTAGTAGAACTGAATAAATAAAATATACTTGCAAAAATGTCAAACACTTGAAGTTGTGTCCCATTTAAAAAAAAAATCAGTTTTTCAAAAACATAACTGAGTTGACTGAAAACCTAGTTTTTAGCAGTGAAAAAAATTGATAGTTTGATATTTTTTAAAAAGTTAAATATTTTCACCCTCCAAAAAATCCTAAAGCCAGCATTTTTGTGAAACTTTTCAATTTCAAAAAAGCAGGGCTTTTGCCCACCCACTATATTCAAAAATTGTTGACCAGTTTTAGAAATAAATTGAGTACGATAGTCCAATGCCAACATGACATAATTGATACTTTTTGTTGATAGATTCGTTGAATAAATTGAAGTCTAAATAAGCTTTGGAATATTCTTTCCTAGAAATTTACCTTAGTCCTTTCACGTTCAGATTTAAGTACATTGGTGAGACAGCATAAGCAGTTCATAAGACCTCTGTGCTATCGATAGGTCATCTTTCAACACCAATATATTCATAATAAGCCTTTAAATAAGAAAGTTTAGAACAATCAAATCCTGGTATTGTGTTGGTACATAAACATGCTTAGTACTGATACATTCAGTACTCAGTGATTTCCAATATTTAAAAATACTCTAACCAAATGCTTTTCATCTTCTTGACAGAGAAGAACGCAAAAGATAATGTGAAAGCAGGCTATATGAAATACAGAGAACCACCATCAAAATTACTGACTGGAAATAAATTTCAAGAGCGTTATTTTGTCTTACGGGAAGGAAATCTGCTTCTTTACAAGGATATGAAGGTATAAACACATATTCTGAACCCTTCTAATTATGAGCAGTTAAACTTAAACAGCTTTCCTTTACATATGAAAAAATGAACACAGGTTGACAGGTAAATCAGCAATTTGGTTCTTGCCTATCCAATTCAGGGATTAAAATAAAAAAGATTTTTTGCTTGTTACAGTTGTTGAAGTGTAAGAGCTCATTTAGCTATGTTCATATATTATGTACTTTTAAAAATTAAAACAACATTTAGCAACCAGTGTAGTTTGTATGATAAACATAATTTTAAAAGAGCTTATTTTATGTCCGGAGAAGGTATAAATGTTGGGGTGGTGTTAAGTATAACTCTCAAATAAACACATTTCAAGGCATTTCAAAAACGTGGTGCAGGAGTGCAGGCAGTCCCCGGGTTACGTACAAGATAGGGACTGAAGGTTTGTTCTTAAGTTGAATCTGTATGTAAGTCGGAACTGGCATCCAGATTCAGCCGCTGCTGAAAGTGATCAGTTTCAACAGCGGCTGAATCTGGACGCCAGTTCTGACTTACATACAGATTCAAATTAAGAACCCCAGGCATCCTCAAGTCAGCTGCTGCTGCGGGACCAACCGGCAGCACCCCACCTGCTCTACCACAGGCCCGGGGCTTTGCTCCACGTCTCCCTGGTCTGCTGGGGGAGGGGGGACACTAGCTGCGCCCCCCCCCCCCGCCAG